TTAATTGATGACGTACCATCGTACCGAGGAATGCCGTGATGAACTGTTATCAAATTATTCAAGCGCTGTTTTGCTGCCATATCAATTAATATGGAAATTTGAAAAGATTTGTCCAGTGAGCAAAAATGTTTGCCTCTGAAGTAATTAAAACAATTTTTTCAGGTAAAAGATCAGCATCATTCTTAAAAAAAGCCTCGAACACCGACCACAGACTCCATTTCGAACAAGAATTGTTGATGATATCTGACACGTGTCACAGCAACAACACTTAACTCAATGCTTAACTCTTTTCATAATTATTCTTTATTTATTAGTTGGCCTAAATGTTTTCAATATTTGCAAAATTTCATGCTTTTATAAAATCTTAACAGTCATGCCAAGTTTTTTGTTGTTATGTTCATTGTGTTATTAAATGTACTAAATTCAAATTATTAACACTCGGCAAATGAAAAGCAACAGGTGATGACACTGATGATACTATACTACTTACTAGATTTGCCGTGTTTTTGCATACTGTCACCGCTTTCTTTCTCACTGATAGATAAAACATTACCTAACAAATTAAAACTTTTATATAACATTTCAAATTATTGATACATATATCACTAATACAGTAGACTCTCTCTTTTGTTACATGGCCGGGACAAACCGGCTCTATTTTATTACACTTCCATCCTATGCCTTCGCTCAGCAATTTTATAACTATGTATTTAAGAAGTAATTTTATTTCTATTCTAGAACATATTTATCACATGAAATGGCTGAATAAAAGAAGTCATTCTTGTGGTCTAGTTCATCATAAAACATGAAATAAATTTTGATTTTCTCATTGTTATTTAAAGTTAACAAATTTTCTTCAAGAATAATTTTTTTGTGATTAATGCTATGTTTATATAAGAAGGGTCTCGAAGGGTCCTGTCTCATGTCAAAGCTGTCCAGCTAGTAGGCCTGATAGGACCAAACCATTGCGCAGGACCACATACTGTAGGTAAGGCTATATCTTTTTATTATGAAAAGGAGACATGATTAAATACGGTGCTATACAATAATTATTCAATTTTAAAATTATTTTCGTAAGCATAAATTTGAACATGAGTGATTCGTGTGAGCACAGTACGAATTACGCTGCAGAATTTTTACAGGAACTGTATCAAAAAGTAATCGGCATTATGCTCACAAGAATAATTTATGTTTGAATTCATTTCTATGTAAATGATTATGGAATTAAGAGATTATTGTGTTGCACAGTACTGAATCATGTGTTCTTTGTCTGTTCACAAAAATTTATGATAAGAACATTACAAATTTTTTTTAATACAGTAATAGGCAATCAGCACAGGGGAAGAAGAAGATGAAGAAAAAGAAGAGAAAGAAAGAATTGGTGGACAAGCGCAAATGGAGCCCATAAGCACCACGACTTCCACTAAAAGTGAAATGCTCATTTAAATAATAAAGAAGAAATTCAATATCTTGCTACTGAAAATCATGAAAAAAATTAGATCAGTTTACGTTTTTATTTTTCAAAATGATTAGGAAAATACGGGGCAAAACAACGATTCCGATAATTTAGTGAGGCAAAACGGTTTCTTTAAAGTTGTTAATACCAAAGTTAACAATGATTTGAAAATATACTTATCACATAAAATACATTATCATATGTTTAAATCATTCTACAATTAAAACATTCGTCTTGCCCCGTGTTCCTCTATATTATTAATAATCTGAATTGAATTAAATTAGTATGATAACTTAAGCTTCATCAATATCATTCCTAATAAACACGATTACGTAATTATGACATCACAATAATATCACACAAAATCAGATTTGACGTAAGTTTTAAGTCACCGATGACTCGCATGCGAGTCATTATTTCCTGACGTCAGATTCTAACGTAAAATATATGACGTTAATATGACATCCGAGGAATGTCACTGTGACTTATCTGATGTCAAGCTGATGTAACAAATAAAATTATGATGTCAAATGAATTCAAAATTATTTTAGGTTTAAGAAGGTATTCCGAAAATCTACTTTTCAGCATCAATTCAGGTTAACAATAAAAATTTCTTCCAGGTTCTTCAGGTCAATTGCAGAATGATTACAAAAGGTCATCATTCACTGCGACGTTACTTTTTTTTCTAGTGTTCCCAAGCGGTCACCCATCCAAGTATTCCCCTCGAGAAATGTTGCTTGACTTTAAAGATGTTGAGTGCTGGCTTCCACACTCGAGTAAAAATAAATAGGCCTAAAAAAAGCCCAAAATGAAAAATAAGCCCAATACAGGCCTAATTGCAGCCCAATCTTGACTTGAAGAAATTTTCAGTGTCCAAAACAAGCCCATTACAGGCCTAAATTTTGAAAGAGCCCAATTGAAGCCTAAAAACATTTTCTAGACCTACAATACGCCCGATTCAAGCCCTAAAATATTGTCCAGGCCTAAAACGCGCCCAAGTCAGGCTTAGAACACGCCCAATTGAAGCCCATTTTCTAAGATCATATTCGACAATGATGACATAAATCATTACAAATGTAAATTTGTAGCATGAAAGTGAATTTGATGATAAGTTTTTATGACAATTTTTTTTTTTTTTTTAGATTTTTAAAATATTTTTGGGCCTAGATTGGGCGCGTTTTAGGCCTCAAAAATATTTTTGGGCTTCAACTGGGCGCGCTTTGGGCCTGGAAAAGAATAATGGACTTGAATTGGGTTCGTCGAGAGCCTAAAAAATCATATAGGCTCGAATTGGGTCTCCTTTGGGCGCGCCCAAAATCTGATGATTTTTACTCGGGCATCCCCGTACGATGTTGGGCGTAAATTTTTTTTTGTACTTTATGTTGAGTAAGTGTTGGATTATATTGGAATTGACAGGGACTGTTTCGGGGCTCAGGAAGGAACCAGGGCAATAATAAATAATAATATTACTATATATAATATTATTCTATAATATTACTATTAATACTGTATTTCACCAAGACAAATTACACATCGTTTAAAACCTTCGTATATTTTTTATGTAACTATCGGTTATGTTTAATAATAATTAAACATGACGAAAACATCATTTTTATTCCCCATGTAAGTCTACATTGAGAATAATTATTAAATATTGTCGTTCACAGTAAAACGTTGTTAATAATAACATTTATTCTGTTATTCCATGACATCTATTTTACTTAACAATAAAAAATATAAATACACATTTTATATCAGTGAGAGATCATAATTGTGTCATATCATAGGAAAGTCATTAACTTACATCAATATGATATTAAAATTATATCACAAATTTTTACATCATACTCTAACTACAAGGGAGTTTCTACTTCAGATTTACGTGAAATATCGTGATAACTGTAAAACTTAATGGCTACAGAAAAACTTAAATTCTAGTTAATAAAACTAACGACGGGTTTTTTCCTGATCCTACATTCGGCCATTCTATTGTACCATCTGCCTCAGATGGTCAGTTAATGTTGTTCTTCGAGTTCGTCGCTGGCCTCAAAATTTCGGATGGACTTTGATGCCTGGGGTTAGTTTAGTGCGCTTAAGTGCCACAAGGTCTCCTTCATGGTATTTTGTTTGCTTTTTTGCGCTTTCTGTTAAATGTGCGTCGATTCTCTTCTTGGATAGCGGCAATCTTTCTGACAGCTTGTCGTCGGATCTTATCCCTGCTTTCCTCATACATTACAATCCACTCTTTCTCAATTATATCTCGCACGTTATGATCTTCCTTCAATTTCGTGTGTATCCTTAGCAATAAGTGGAAAGGAGTTGTTGCAATGCTGCGGTGTGGGGTAGAATTTAAAAATTTCTGTACCGTAGAAAGTTGTTTGTACCATTCCTTGGGTTTGGAAGCTGATAGCTTGGTCAATAGCGGGATCAATGTTCTATTCACCCGTTCTACCTGACTATTGCTTCTAGGTTCACCTGTTGTTATGTGAACATTCGCAATTTTCTCCTCCTTACAGTATTCGGAAAATGCATTCGACGTGAATGCGGTACCTCGATCGCTCATAATTCTTCTTAAGTTCCCGAATATTGCTGATTGTTTCTTCAGGCGGTCGATTACTTCAGCGGAATCGGTCGATCGGGTAGCGTATAACCATACAAACTTAGAAAATAAATCTACTACGACAAGTACATGACGATATGATTTTTTTGTGGACGGTATTGGACCAAGGTGATCTATGTGATACGTATCTAACGAGACACATCCCTTATTAATTGTATTTAACAACCCCTTCTGTTTACCATGTTTTCTTTCGCTCAGTATACAATCAACACAATTCTTAATAACATATTCTACCCGTTTTCTCAATCCTTTAAACCAAAAGTCTTTTAAAACTAATTGTTCTATCTTATTCACACCAAAGTGACCACGCTCATGCACACGCCTTACAATCTGTTCCTGCATACGTTCAGGTACTACAATTAAATATTCATCATCAAGTATCTTATATAATAAATTATGTTGTAACACAAAATCATTACATTTATCGTTCTTTACAGCTTCTACAATTTTCATTATTTTCTCATTTTCATTCTGAGCTTTCTGCAGTTTTATGAAGACTGTGTCTTCACAGTCATTCAGAAGCATCACCTGCGGTTATGGTTCCATTCTCTACTATATGACCGAGATACTCTATTTCTGACTGTAACAACTGACATTTTTCCCAGTTAATGTTCAAACCGTATTTGCTAGCAACCTGCAAGACTTCTTTTAGTTTTACTATTGCTTCTTCGTGATTAGTCGACTTTCTCTGACTCATTGTCCAGATCTACCTAAAAGATATCCGGAACATTTATACCAGCGGCAACGTCAGAAACAAACCCGGACTTAGTGTCGTCATCGATCTTTGTGATTTTAACGTTTCCTGCTCGACTATGTAGATCAATTGTATCCAAAAAATCTGTGCCTATAAGGGCAGTGTGTTTAATAATATTACTTAGGACTACATGGAATTTGACATTATAAACAGTATTATGTATTGCTAAATCTGCCATAAACTTGCCTAAGCTTTCATTTTTCGATGATCCAATACCGTTAAACTGTACCGTGTTTGTAATAATTTAGGTGAACCTATCGTTACATAATCGTCTGCACGTATAATACTTAAATCGCTACCCGTATCGACAAGAACCGTCATTGGTACCTCATTTATATTTACCTCCTTCAGATACTTTTTTCTTGATGACCGTGTCACGACGTTGAGGTTCTTAATCTTGGTGCTCTCTGGACACTTTGCGGCGATATGACCGAAGTTGTTGCATTTGAAACACTTACTTCCCTTATCCTTACCAGGGCATTCTGCAGCAAGATGAGTCTTAGAACTACAGTGTCGCGGTTTCCTCTTTTTCTCGACTTTAGCCGCTTGCTTATTTTTGCTGGATTGTTCTTTTCGATCGCCTTTGATTTTCATTCCACTCTTCATGTTCTCGTATTCTTTAAATCGTTCTTTTAGTTGTTTTACTGTCTGCACCCTATACAACATGGTTTTGTTCACTGGATCATCAGGGACACCCTCAATGATGTATTTTATGACTGTTCGCACTTCGACGTCCGCTCGGCTTGCAATGTCCAGCATCTTGTAAATGTATTCACTGTATGTTCCCTTGGGCTTCTTTTTGCGTTTGGAGAGATCGCGATGGACTTGATGGCTATCGATGACACTGTCGAACTCCCTAATAAGTGCTTTTTTAAGCTTCTTCCAAGTGTCAGCACATTTTTCATACTTCACGAACAGCTTCGCTGAACTTGTTAGGGGCTGCTTCGCATATACAATTTTCTGTGCTTCTTTCCACTCGTAAAGGAAGGCCATTTTTTCAAACTCCTCCAGTCAGTCTCTTACGTTTCGTGAGTTGTCCCCGCTAAATTTTCCTAGGGACTCCTCGACATCACGGAATGTTAACAAGACTCTTCGTTGAGATGTTCTTGTGTATTCCTCAATCGTCACCTGAGTACCAGCATTGTGTTCGCCCTGGTCTTCTTCAGAAGCGGCATCCTCTTCTTTATTATTTTCTGCGCATCCTTGGCTAGTGCTGTCGCTGAAGGCTGCACGAAGACGTTCCCTTAAAACAGGTTTTGTTCCTAAGATAGCTCATCTGCCTTCATTTTTTCAATATCGTTTGGCTCACCCATGATGATGCTACTTTCAGTTTAACAGTTCTATAGAGCTTTTAATACTTTTCTGAATACACTTTCTCTTTAAAACCACTTTAACGTATTTGTCTTCACCACGCTTCACGACACGATAATTGAAAGAAACATAGACTACGCACTTCAGTTTTTCACTTTCAACTTCACGATCTACTACTAAAATGCTCTACCATATCCCGGACGAGCCCCCAAAGGTAGGATGAGATAAAATGGTAAGGTTTAATTAGTTTCTATTCTAGATATGAAGTTACAATGTTAACTTAGGACAACTTAAGACATGTTAGTCACAAGCCCTCCGACTTAGGACTGACTGCCCGTCTTCTTTTTCCGTTTTCATCCCTTCTGCGAGGGCGAGACTTGACCTCCCACTCCTTAGGTCACGTCAGTCCCAAGTCTGGAGACCACGTGTTGGGACTTTTCCCTTTTTATTAGGGGAAAGTCCCTGGGCTTAACTGTAAAACTTAATAGCTATAGAAAAACTTAAATTCTAGTAAATAAAACTAACGACGAGTTTTTTTCCGATCCTACAATATTTATACAAAAATGAGAATTCTGTTATTTACAGAGTCGTTTGGGACGTGTACATGGCGCTACGTTTTACTGACATCCGATTATGGCAGAATTTTAATTATTTTCGTGATTTTATTTATTTCTAGCATATGTTTATAATTTCGTCTCTATTAGTTTCCACTAGCGGACATATATGTCATAAACTTATGTGTTCATAAACACTTACACAATTAAACGTCTTCTGAAAATTTACCAGCGTATTTCTGAATATTTTTAACTTTAAGTCGAACTGTATACAACATATTTTTAAGTAACTAAACGATAGGTGACAAAGAAACACAAGATTTCATCGTAATAATCGATTTTTCATTATTTATAACGGCGTTACTTGTTATTAACCAGGAGAGTCTATTTTTATTTATTTAACAAAATTGATAACTTTTTTTCTGTGAGGAAGACAAATCCTTGTTGAAAAAACTTAAATTCATTGCATCGATTTCTTTCCCAATTGTTTATAATAAATTGAATTATTATGAATAAAAGAAAAAGTTCCTATTTATGTGACATTGCTGGTAACTTTTGTTCAGAAAGCGAAAAAATTTTCCGATAGAAAAATTTAATTTATTACATAGATCCCATTTTCATAAAATATAATTATATTACTCCAGCTGATTCCCATGGCTTTGTCTGCGTAATGTGCATAATTACGTCACATATTAATAGATTGATCGACAAATGTTTTAAATTGTAATTTTGCAGTTTAAAAGGGCCAATTCCAGAAATGTATTAAACTATGATAATATTACAAGTAAAGCAATAATTTTGTAAGTATTAATAATAACTGGAAAAAATACGACCTCTATCTTGAGATTCAATTTCTTCTACATAACATTAGTAACCTTGATTTAATACAAAAAAACATATTCGTTTAAAGAACTCTTATTCGTTGCATGAATTCTGCTTTCAATTATTTATAACGAATGCCTTCTGAAAAACTCGCATATCTTGCATAAATCCAGTCTCCAATTGTTAATAAAAAATCTAGTTGTTTAAAACTAAGAGTGTCATTTCATACCCCACTGATAGGGTTAGTAACCCGTTTCCAGTAAGAAAAAAGATTTCCTGTGGAAAGAGCTCGAATTTATAGCATAGACCCCTTATTTTATTTTTATAAACAAATCGAGTTCATTTATCTTTATTTCGAATTGATAGTATAGATCTCTTGTTAAATTGTTCATAATACATTATGTCATTATAAACAAAGAGTGTCCGTTTCTATTTATATTACACGGTTAGTAACATTTTTTTTGGAGAAGAAAATATTTACTGTTGAAAGAAATCGGATATGTTGCATAAACTCCATTTTCATTTGTTCACAACAAATTCAATTTTTATAACTAATTTACATAAACAAAAAGTTATCTATAACCTTCATGATGACTATCGAATTTTTACATTAGATCAACTCAAGCCGTCAATTTATTTTATAACCATCTTCACATTTGAATCCTTTAAATATTTCCCGCATTCTGTGTCAATGTTTTAGCATTGCCTGGTGGCGAAATGAAACACAGGTCGTAAAAAAACTCAATATAAAGGAAAAGTATCCCCGCGGTCGGTGATTGCTCATTAGAAATAAACATAAATGTAGGTGAGTATACCATTTAGAACGAAACATCTAATACCGACAATTTCACATCTTCACCTCCTATATCAAACGATAGTTATTGGAAGTTCGGATGGGTATTTGTGAAATAATCAAGTACAAGTTGATTTTCTATTTTCAAAAATTATAACTTAATTCTTTATTATTATCACGGATTGCATTTAGAGAAAACGTCTTTACATTACAGATAGTCGTACAGAACTAACTAAAGACTTTAAACTGAAGTATTATTTAGACAAAGAGATCTAAGCCTCTTCTCTATTTGTTTAAACATTACAGATGGTTATAATAAATAAAACACATGCAATACTCTGAAGATAGAGTACCAAATAAAACTTAATAAAGAAAGAGTCCTTTGTATGACCCAAGTGTCTGAAGTCATAAAACAGGGTTGGGCCTTGGTTCTTTTCTTTAAAAATATGTTTATAACTAAGTGTTGAGTTTAACCATAAGTTGAATATTTAAAAAACTATGAAATAAAATAAACAAAATATTAACTAAATAAGATTCATTTTTGTTCAGAGAATTCAACACGCCCCCTCAAAAATGAATCCCTTACAAAATAAATTCAAATACATTCTTAATAACAATATTTTCTAAATCTTAGTTTTAATGATTAAATAATATAAATATTGCTTACAATACTGTTAACAAATGAAACTGTAATGACAAACTATTTTATTAATAACAACAATCACTTTCTCAAGCTCCATGTTCAGACAAGTTTATGCGTGCACCTACTGATCCGTTAAGAATAAAAGTATCACGACACTTACGCGCCAATCAGTACAATATAGGGAGAAACGAATATATGTAATTAATGCAGTACAATACGAAGATATGAATTTCGTGAATATTAAAAAAATAAAATATGTAACTGATAAATAATTAACAAGAACACTTCTTAGTTCAATAAATCAAATCTTATAAATTATATTAAGGCGTATTAAGCTCCAATAAGGTACTATTTTATTATACTTGTATATCGATAACGCGTTGAGTATAAAAACGTGCTACAATCGAAACAAAGCGAAATATACATTTCTCATATCAATAGGGAACTGTTTCAAAACATGAAAATATCAGTGCTCTGCAGTGGTCTGGGTGCGACCCGAAAGGTCCACACGACCAACTTCCCAGTGAAAAAAATGGAAAACACTTCGAATAGAACCCGTTTCCAATTGATTATAACAGATTGTATTCGACTCTGGGGACCTTAAAACGTGGAGATATGTCAAAATTCAGGATTCGCAAAATCGGACCCATTACGATAACTTCCCACGGGGAAGTTAAAAAAAGGCCCTACATTCGAAATAAGTATTTTAAATATTTACAAAATTTATTTCTTTTAATCTCACTAGTCTACAAATAGACAATAATAGATTTTAATGCAATGAAGGCATGACATAAAGTTTTTCATGACTATCATTATTTATAGAAAATACCACCATTTTTTGTTGTACATCTGTTAATGCACACGTTCTGTAGTCCAGTTTCTTTTAGAAATACGCCACATTTTCATTATTTTAAAAATCAGATGGATGGGTGAGAAGTGATTCATTTTTTTTAGAACTTTTCCTGAGATTCTTATATTATTTTCATCTTCACTAGCTCAAATAAACATATTATCAATACGTAAGACACGGTCACTTTTATTTTCGAGTAAAACAATATTGTTTGGGGATTGACTTATAATAATTGAGTTTTTAAAAATAAGTAATTCCACAATAACATCACTAGAACAACTAGCGCGAAGTTTTCTTAATACTTCAACAGTTTTAGGTTTTTCTATGACACTAGACATATCATTCCAACGACGATAAAATTGTGATAGAGGCTTATGACCATTATGGAGCAGCTTTTTCATTTCGGCAAGGGTATTTTCGAAGGAATAAGCGCTGATTTTAGAGATTGTACAATTCATGTATCTAACATCGTCAGCAAGGTAAATGAGAGCATGAATATTTCCAGTTAGACACTCTTGTCCATAGAAAACTGGTTTCCAGATAACAAATTTTTTCAAAATTATTTAGCATGATCACATTCACTTACAGCAAGCTTAGTTGACCACAATAATCTACAACCAATATGCAAAAACATGAAATGAGTGAAAATGTTATCTCTTAAAATATTCTCGAAAATTATCGGTCTCACATAAAGCAAGAGAAACTGATATTCAGTAGCCTTGAATTTTTTAAAATCTTTTAAGGATCTAGTGGTCCTCTGGAAATAATGAAGTATCTGATGTTGAAGTGATATCAACGAATTTGATAACTGTGTAAACTTGATAACTTTGGCATTGTAGCTCAATCCCACATCTTGGACATTCCCTCCTAACCAATATTCTAGAAATTTTTTCATCACACCAAAAAAAACTTAATGCATTGCATCTAGAACAAATTAATATGAATCAATGAACTTACTCCATTGTGATGGTGAGCATTACTTTGAAGATGGAAAGATGTATCAGTTCTTGAAACATCATTGAATGTACGCTGGCTCTTTACCATGGAATATGGATATATAGTTCGATTATTTACTCGAGTACTGTGTACTTCACATCTCTTACAACTGTAGTAACCTTCATGACCAATTATATGCC